ACATTCAGACATTATTCCTATACAAGAAATTGTATCCAATTTAGAAATAGTTAAAAACTGCTAAAGAAGTTTTAATTAACTTGCTGTAAATTTACTACAATATTATTGTAGCCAAAAGTTTTAGTTCTCAGAGACACACCTTTTAGGCTTTGGAAGTCAGTAGTAGGCCTGGCAAGTGTGATATGGAATGAATTCAGGTTATGATTACTAGTAACTATTTCACTCATGAAATTAAACATCATATGCCAATATATCGTCATATTACCAAACATCATATGCAAGATCTGAAAACCTAATTTTCCTTCTGGAACAAATCAACATAAATTTAGTAAGAAATTGTGTAGACTTCCAGAAACCTTTAATTCATTCTGGCGAATTTCCCCACCGTTTTCGAAATATTTGCGAAAAATTAAGAGGGCACACTTCCGTTTCTTCTTCAAAGGGTACGAAATGGAGAAGGTAGTTTTACGAAATCTTATAATGACATATGTTCTTTTAAAGGTCACAATTAAAAAAATTTCGCGATAAGTTAACTTTATTTTGCATAAAATCTTATCTTTACAGTTGTTTCAAAATATACTTTACAAACTTGCAGGGTATGTAGGGGGATTGATCATTTTTTGCCACTAAATATGTTGTCTGAAGTGTCATGTAGTGAAGTCACACGTACAATATGATATTTCCCCTGATGGGTAGGCAACTCATTATGCGCTGATGTTCTGCATGTAATATGTGTAACTTCGTTTTATGACATTTCCAATTACATGTTTATTTGCAAAGAGTTTTGAACTTGAAATGCCATTAATGCCCTCGAAGTTTGTTTCTTTTATTTACTTGTTTTCTAAGTTATTTTAGATGGATAAATGTACATCACGTATCCCTCATAATTTTAGCAGAAAAAAAACGAACTTTATTGTTTCGACCAGAAGCCTAGATTACCATAGAAAGTATTTTTGTTATTTTTAGAATGCGTCGCAGCCTTTATATCACCGCAACTGAAAGTGCATGTGCTTTCACAAGGCTCGGGCGCTATTGTAGACCCAGGTGGCCATTAGAGTAATCTTGAACAAGAAGTGCACTGCAATTCTGACGGCCGGCAGGGGGACAAAGGATCTGATTTTTTCCTCGATAACATAGAACTATTCTCAGATATTCGACTCAATATAAGCGATATATATATATATATATATATATATATATATATATATATATATATATATATATATATATATGGAGAGAGAGAGAGCGAGAGAGAGAGAGAAAGAGAGAGAAAGAGAGAGAGAAAGAAACAGAGAGAAAGAGAGAGAGAGAGAGAGAGAGAAAGAAACAGAGAGAAAGAGAGAGAGAGAAGAGACCTAATGGTATCGTAATAAAATAGTGAAAAATGGAGAAATGGCGTGAAATAAAAGAGCAATTGAATTGTGTAAATTGGGCCTTTTTTATTTTTGTGTTAATTTTTATTTGGGAAGAAATATGTTAATTCTTGTGTAAATATTAAACATTTACTTGTTGATATAGTGTTTATGTGTTTATAAAATGTAACATTTTGCCTAAAAAGTCTTTTTTCAAATCAACTTTTGAGTGCTTATTCGCCATTGCTCAGCCATTCGAAATCTGGAAGTTTATAAGACTTATAAGCTAAGTTTATATGCTTAAAATTGATTTATTCTCGAAGTTTCGTTGTTTCCTTCGCTGGCAGCTGTATATTAAGGTGGCCCACAAGAAAATAAATTTTCGAATTCAATGTAGTGCACACTCATACAATGAAAATTCATGTATCTTTCAAGACACCATGGAGGCGGTGGACTGTTAAGTCTTGAAGTTATGTGCCGCCAGCAAGAAAAACAACTCAGAAATTATTTCGTCAACAACGAATCCATGACGGCCATCTGTACACAAGATCACGGCTATACACCTCTTAAGCTGCCACAAGAAGACCGCAATCCAAGTTTTCCTAAAACTAAGGACCGAATTTAGCAGTGGAGATCAAAGGAACTCCTTTACAGGCCTGATTTTTGGCGAGACGGGAGGATTTGTGCTGGCCATTCAAGATCAGATAGTAACCACTAGTAACTGCAGGCGATATATCATGAAAGAGAGTATCAGTGACAAGTGTCGCATGTGTAAGAAGCCGAACCTATCAATTCAACACATCTGCAGTGGATGTTTTCAGTTGCCACAAACAGATTTTTACGTCATAACGTGCATAAAAGAAAAGAAAAGAAAAGAAAGGAAAAGAAAATACGAGCCACTCAATTGAACTGAAAAAACTATACAAATTAATAGTGGTAGATACTGTACTAGTTGTTATTTCAACTAATGAGCTTGTTGCTGAAGATTGTAGGATTGTAAAAGAGAAACTCCATCTAAATGAGTGGCACTTCAGAACCACGCAGAAGGTGGTGTGGCTGGCAACCACCAATATGGCGCGTAAGGTTCTCATAGTGATTGAAGAGGAACCTCAGTGCACTGGAGCAAAAACTTCACACCATCTGTGTTGACGTTCTGTTCTTGAGTTATATCTGAAAACTCCGTACGAGCGAGACATTTTGAAAAAGGATGTAATAATAATAATAATAATAATAATAATAATAATAATAATAATAATAATAATAATAATAAACATTTGTCTTTATTAGTGGCGACTTTCAGATATGACGCGTTATAACTGTCGCGATTTTTGACAGTTATGCTTTGCAGAATGATTTTTATAGTCTATTAGGATCATGAAATTGGAGTGTTAAACCAAACAATTTTGTGATAGCATGCAGCTGTCAAAATTGCTGTCAAATCTTATTTTTTCTTAAAATTTACATTTTTGTTGAAATGTTTCTTACTATTATTTTTTTAGCATTTTAGTGTAGTTTTTGTGCTAAAACATATTTTCATTTTCTACTTGAAACTTATATTTTTCGAATTGGCAGATGTCAATAGTGTAATATTTATTGTAACATTAATTAAAACTATTTTTAAATTTCACCATTTACAATTATTTTAAAAAGCTTAACTTGACAGCGCATTGATATTTACCCATGAATAAAATGAATTTATATAATAAAACAATTAATTAAAAACATTTAAACCAAATTTATACGTGAAAATGGTAAAATTGCAAAACAAAAATCAAAATTTTAAAGTTTGACAGTACTATTGTAGATGAGAATGTAATGCTGTTAATTTCATAATTCAATAATTTCTGAATCTTGTTAGTCCTGGTGTATTTCCAGTTTCCCATGTTCTTAATTGCTTGAAAGAGGTCCCCTTCCGAGATTTCATTAACGATTTTTACTGATTCTACGAGTTCATCGGCCGCATCAACTTCAGATTGAATCGAAGACGGGTCTTTGTGAAGGATTTCCTTTTTTTACACATTTCTACCCAAAATGTCATCTTTTGCAGGAGGGACAGCATTGCTACCGGTTTTTGAGTCAGATTGAGATAGAATCTCTTCTCGTTACACCGAGAGCCTTTCACCACAGTGCATGTGTGTGAGTTTGGCACCTCTCCATTGTTTGTGTGAATGAATGAATCTGCCATATATTCATGGATATAATTTAGGTTTTTGGATGCATTTTATAAAAGCTTTTCAATTGTATCTCGTAAAGAGAAAACGTTTGTAAATAGAGATGAATTGAATTGAATCACTTGGAAAACTGTTTATATAGATACAAATAAAAATGGTATTGATAAATGTAATAACAATTTTCAAAGTAAATAAGAAAATTAGGTAAGAATAATGGAATGTATAATTAGATAACAAATTCTAACATGGGTGGATAGGTAAATTGAGCCAGTAGGATAAGTGTCCTGTCTTTATACGTTCCCGTACACGTACATAGTAACATACGTAGTACAGGAAAAGTTATGTAATGTTGCGGGAAATCGATTTCGAGATTTCGACGGAAATATACATTTTGAAATATACATTTTTACATGAAGCCCACAGGACAATTTTTTTTTCAAAAACGACTTCAAGTTTTTTATATAAATTACTTGTGATAATAGAGCAAAATACACTTGTAAAGGTGGCATGGGCTGCATTTTTTAAAATTTCAGAATTTTTGGGGGTCTTCGTACAACTATAAAATTGAAGATAGATTTTTCCTTCAAATAAATTTGTTCTCTATAGTAAGTTCTTTCATTAATGTCACGTAAATATTTGTGAAAATTTTCGCAGTTTTTGCGCAATATTGGGTGTAATACAAACAAGATTTTCTCAAAAATGACTAGGGATAGTGCTAAATGTACTCTATAAGATGACATAAAAGTAATATTGCTCTATTCTTTTGTTTTTTCAAATATTTTCTTTATAAATGTGTAAAAATATTTTATTCTTAAATTTTGAAATTTAAGGTTTCTCTATTTTCATATTTATTTTGATTACACGTATTATGAATTCCAGTATTATTAGAATAGTTTATTTCAGTCATAATTAGAGAGCCTAAATATGAGTTCAGCCCAAATTATAACAATTTGTTAACAATTTCTGCAAAACATAGAAAGAACAATTATCATAAATATATACAAATAAATAATACTTTTATACAAATAAAAATTTAATATATTTCATTCTTATGATATATCCATTATGAAATATTTAACGAGCAATTGCAAACTTCGGTTTTACCTTTACAAATTATTAAGAAGACTAACTATTCTAATGAAAATAATATTTTTTTAAATATAATGCTAATATAAAACTAAATGATGCTGAACAATTTAAACAATATTTTCAAAACTTCAACAAAATATTTGCAGTGCACCACTTCTTTCAACAATCCCTTATAACCGTTGGTTACAGTAACATTTTTGTTTCAATTGAAGAGTAGTGCATAGGCGATCGCAGTAAAGTTAATCCAGAATTAAACATTTTTAAAAACATCTAAAAATTGTGATGACCTTTTGAAATGGGTCCGAGTGTGACACCGAACTCCGCCTTGGATGACCCCAAGAGGGGAAACACAAACAACATGGCGTTTTCACTCGCATCATTAGCACTAGTTATTTTCAGCTGAGCGATGAACTGACTAAAAAAAAAAAAAAAAAAAAAAAAAAAAAAGAACAAAAAAAAAAGAACACACATTAGCGAATCGGAGGAGCCCCAGCAACGTCTTGCTTGGCGGTGATGTTCATCTGGCACAGGAACTCGCGCTGGTCGATGCAACTGCCATCCAGCAGGCCGTACAACATGACGCTGGGCTGCACATTGGCGTGGTCCTCGGGGAACACGAAGAGGAAGCCGCACCGCTCGGCCCCCTTGCGGGCCTCAACTGGCAGAAGCGCCCACACCTTTTGGTCCATCGCAGCACCTGCGAATCGGTTCAAGACTGTTAGACCCAGTCTGAAAAACTTTTTTCAGCTTGCAAACTAGAATTTATTTTCAATGCTTGCTGATGCAAAAGTGCTACTTTACGGCAAGCGTACGGCAAAATAGATTTCCCCGTACACGTATCGTACAGAAGTCATGGGGAATAAAACAAGTACGGCAAAGAAAACAAAACACTAGAGCGGAATCAACGTGGCGTCTCGCGTATTGGGAATGATCCTATGAGTACACGCAAGTTTCAATTAATTTGTACGAAAACATAAAGTACGCTACCCATACTTAAGTATCTTTGGCCTACTAAATTCAAAATGCAGAGAGAGAGAGAGAGAGAGAGAGAGAGAGAGAGAGAGAGAGAGAGAGAGAGAGAGAGAGAGAGATTGGATTCTGGCTATACCAAGTGTCAGAGGATATCCCTCCTAAAGTTAGCCACAGGATTGACCCACTTTTTCGTTACTAGAGCCCGGCTACAATACTATTTCTGGCAAAAATTCGCCGGTTTCCGCCTCACGATTACATCACTTTTCTTACGAAGAATTCGTGACGCGAGAAAGTAAAAAGTAGAAAATAAAAAATTCATAATATAGTCCAAAGAAAAAGTTGAAATAAGTACTTGCTCTATTTCTGCAATACTTTCTCAATATTAAATATACAGAAGGGAAAACGCCACGTTACGTTTAATAATTGTTAATTCAAATGTATGTTCCACTCTTCTAGAGGATAGAAAATGATCACCAATTTGCCAATGAATATTAGTAGGATATATCGGAATTATGCAAGAAACATTCGCCTCTGATTGCTAGGCAACCCCATAAGCACAGATGTTCGGCAGGTTCACAAAATCTCCTTGAAACATGACCCGCGGAACATATTTTTGCAAAAGTTGCCTAAAATTTAGAGAAAAATGTCACACGTGTCACTTTACTGTATGAAATTTCCCACTACATTTTCATTGGCAGAAAGTTATTATATTTCACTCATCTACAGATTTGTGTCTTAGATTAATTGATTGTTAGTGACTCCGGGCGCGTCAACTAATAGGGTCATCTGTCCCGTACGCGAAGTGCATGTTTGTGCTCGGAAGGTGGAGGTGATCTTCCTCCGCTGGATGGCTCGCGTCGGCTAGCGAGGTTTTTCCCCTACCAGGTATCTCCCGCCAGCGAGGCACCGCCCCAGCCGGAGCAAGCTCTAAGCTCCCGACCGGTCTCCCCGTGGTCCACGTGTGGTAGTGTAGTGCGCGTTAGCGTTGCAAGCAGTGCGGATATGACAAGGAAGAGGAAGGAAAAGTCGCGCGCGTTCCCGGGATCATTTGTTTAGGCACTACTCCCGCATTCGCATGGTGTTAATAGTAGAAAACTGCAGATCTGAGCACCCGGCGGCTAGAATTATCCTCCAGGCAGCGACTGCATTCGACCTAGCTAACATGCTAGTCTCAATAAATCCTGCCACCGTCGGGATTCGAACCGGGAACCTCCCGGTCGGAGGGACTGCAGTGAGATCAGAGTCATCAACAGATCTTAAAAATTGCTTGTAACAGTTGTTCTTAAACACCCACTGAGTTCAAGGGCACGTGCACAGATGTTGATGCTCCTTTCGCCTAAGGTAAAATGCAAAGGTCTCATTCACATTGCAAACTTAAAAGTAAACATATTGTAACCGCAAAACCAAAAAATGAGTTATTAAGCGAGACCATTCACAATGTCTTCACGTAACAGTAGACGTAAATCCGTAAACTTAAGAGTTTACAAGCAACAAGCTCTCACGTTATGTTTAAGTCGCACCAATCAGAGAACAATATGAAAGAAACAAACAAGATGCATTTCATATTATATTGAGGTAGTTTGGGGTTATATCATTTCATTAGTGTTATGTAGTGAACTAGTTTGCGAACGGTTTTGATGCGATTAGTGAATTTAAAGGAAGGTTTATTTTCTTGTGGTTTTGACGTAACAAGGCGAATAGAATAGTAACGTTGGGCGAATTACTAGTGAGTATTATACAAGAGAATTCTTGTTTATAAAATAAAGGAAATGAGAGCACTAATACAACAGGTACTCACATTTATATATAAAGATCTATCGATATAAAAGTTGAAGAAAAAGCTAGAAATCATGGTGAAAAGATCATCCTACCATGCTAGAAACGAATCGATCAAGCTTCAATGCGTTGAAATGTAATGGGTTTAGGCGAAAATTACATTCGTCAATGTGAATGCTTATTTTCACGTGTCAATTCCCTGCTACGTGTACGTAACGTCCATGTTCGCGTCGCGAAGGCGGCCTGAGGCGGGCGGGTGACCTTGCGAGTTGACCCAGGTGCCGTTGGCGTCGCGGTGCACGTCCACCCAGAGGGCGGGGCTGACGTGCCGGGGCATGGTGTCGGTGAGCTCCTGCAGCATGAGGTGGAAGGCGGAGCGGTTGTGCGCGAGCGCGGTGAAGTTGGGCGGCGCCAGCAGGGCGGCCTGGTGCTCCGCACAGCGCTTCCGCGCCGTCCACCACGTCTCCGCGCTGCGCGCGTGCAGGTAGACCTCGCCGTCCGATGCCACGTACGTCACCCACGAGTCCTCTGCGCACGCCGCGCCCGCGCATCTCTCACATTAAACTGCTACTGCGGTCGTGGGAAAAAATGTGAAGAAAAACAGCGGCGGCGATGGTGTAACGGTTAGCGTACTGGACTGTTGTACCCAAGTTGGCGGGTTCAAACCCGATCAAAGCCGTGGATTTTTAAGGGCGATAAAATCCTTCGTACGCCTTCCTTCGGAGAGGAAGTAAAGCCGACTGTCCCATGTTCGTAGATTTACTTGCATGTAAAAGATCCTCAAGCCTAAATGACGCCTCTGAGCTAAATTCAAATCGCCTGTTTCTCGCCCAAATACCTCCTTTCTCTCCTAGTTGGTGAAAGGAGCGTAGTGAAATTTGCGTGGTCAGACGGAAGAGCGGGCCTGATGGCCCGAGTCTCGCCACGTAAAATAAGGCAAATTCAATTCAATTCAAAACATGGCGCGGTTTTTGAGGAAAGTTTCTTTTTATAAATTCCAAAATTTTCAAGCTCAAATTACGCAGAAACTTCTCACTTTTTCGAAACATTACACATGATCATTTTCAAAGAGCTGATTTTTATTACACATATTAATGCAAAAATAACTATCTACAATTTTGTAGTTTTCAAATGTTAACTTTCTTTTTGTACAATTTTTGAAAACATCGGAAATTCACCGGATGTAAAATAACACATTTTTTAACGTGCTTGAATACATTGATCCTTTGATACATACTTCAAAGAAAAAAAATTGCGCGATTTTTCAAAAACTGAAGTTTTTATTAATTGCATAATTTCATGGAAAGGAGCAACCTTTATACAAGACATATGCTTGTGCCCGAGGTGGCACCCGGGAGGAGAGAGATAATCGATACGTTCTGCCATCTCTTGCCCATCATGTCATTCCTAAAATTGCAAATTCTGTTTGACATCCTGGACAATTTCAACCTCCGAGGTTATATTTTGGCACTAACGTGTTAGTTGAATTTCAAAATGTTCAGTAATTGCAACAAACAAATATTGTGACAAATATAAATATTGTCAGTTACGTTCCAGCTTTATTTGTCCCCATGGCACTAAACACGTGCTGCTAACTGTTTGCTGTTTCACGACAATCGAGTAGCGCGTTCTCAGACTCCCCTAATGTTGACTAGGCTATCCGGGACGAGCCGCGTCAATGTTATGGTGGCTAACGTTTCGGTCAGCGTATTGCGACCTTCTTCAGAGCGTACTGCTGAACGTACTCACTGAAGAAGGCCACAAGGCAACAAGGCCACAGACTCTTCAGAACGTACTCACTGAAGAAGACCACAATACGCTGGCCGAAACGTTAGCCACTATGACATTGACGCGGCTCGTCCCGGATAGCCTAGACAACATAAACTCCGGCCGCGGAAGCCTATGCAACCAGACTCCGCTAATGTTTGCGAGAGCGCACGAGGACTTCTAGCTGACCTAGCGTGCGCACCACTTGGGCATTACTGTCTGCCTCTCGCGCGGGCTTTCTTTACTAGGCTTCAAGTATTCATTACTGGGCTTCTTTATTCATTACTAGGCTTCAAGTCTACAGAGCTCTTCGAACCGGTTGTGTATACATGTTTATATACGTCTAGACGTGCCAGTCCATTCAAATGAATACAATTTAATTTGTCCAACTAAATGTGGGAGTTATTCATTACTAGGCTTCAAGTGTACAGAGCTCTTCGAACCGGTTGTGTGTACGTGTTTGTATACGACTAGAAGTGCCCTTGCATTCAAATGAATACAATGTTATTTGTCCAACTCTACGACTAGAAGTGCCAGTGTATTCAAATTAATACAATTTAATTTGTCCAACTATATGTGTGAGTTATTCATTACTAGGCTTCAAGTCTACAGAGCTATTCAAAGCAGTTGTTTATACGTGTTTATATATGACTAGAAGTGCCAGTGCATTCAAATGAATACAATTTAATTTGTCCAACTATATGTGTGAGTACAGAGTGCGAAGGATACCGAAAACCTTATCCCAATCCATTACCTTTTGAGTCATCACAGGGCACTAATCTGAGCACTAATCCAATCTCAACAATATGTCTACTCATAAATTCGAGAAGTGCGATGATCGAACAAACATGTTATTTATCAAGTGCAATTCCGTTTCTGTTAAGTTCACAGCTAAGTATTATTTAAACATGTAAATATTTAACGCGTTAACATTTACACACTTAAACACTTAAGAACGTAATCACTCAAATATTGAATCATTTAAACCTTCGCTTATAAATTACCGGCATGTAGGTGTCGCATTGGAGGGCCGGGGCACGCTCGGGCCAGTGCGAGGATCAGTGGAGGCAGAACGATTCTAAGTACCACCGCTGGCATTCCCGTCTTGCGTCGCCGTTGCTGCCTTCCTTCAGCATTCATCGTACTAGCTGCTCCTGCTCCTGAAACAAATTTAGAACATCGTTTAATCAAAGGAACTCCGTGCCACTGCAGATGGGTGAGTCACAGAGGTGGCTCCTCTTGTTCTGTGCTACGGGGCTGCTTTCCTCTTTTTTAGTTTAGTATAGTTATTTATAGCGATTTCTTTCACGTACGTATATCATTTTTTCTATCACGCCACATGCGAAATATGTTTCGCGCGTTGTAATCTCAATATTTATATTAGAAATAAAGTTGGGTTTAAGTTGTACAGGGGTCCATGCTAAAGTAAGACTTCTTTCCGATTTATATGAGGTTTAAAAAGAAACTTTAGTTCAAAAACTGAGATTTTGGGATACTAGAACAGTTACTAGAGCTTCATAACTCCATTTGTTGACTGTGTTGTTGTGAACAAAATCATTCTCTGCGGGTAGTTAGCAGCTTCGAAAGTCTGAATGATTTTGAATGTTTCCAGAGTCATTTTTCGTAAAAGAACCATAGCCTTTCAAAAGTACGTTTTGTCGGCCGTTATTTTGCAAGAATATATTCCCTCAATCTGCAAGGGATATAATGTTTGTTTTATGAATGTGGTTAATACGCATAACCAGTATTTTTGTTCTGTAAGTTTGACGATAGTGTATAATCTGTTTTTGTGGCATATCTGTACTTTGCGTTGTGAATCTGATCAAGCAAGGCAGAAAGTAACAGCTAATAAATGGATTCTACGTCATATGTAAAAAGAACAGAGTGAAAGAGACGTAACTATTGGTTCTACAGAATAGCACAGACTTTCCTGTATTAGTTTTCAATTTCCTTTAGTCCTAGCTATTCGGACATTTTTTCGAAATTTTCGTAATTTTTCGTTTTCCTAATTGTAGAACGGAAATATTATTTTAATAATATTAAAGAACAGTAAAATATCGTCCTAAATGGCAATTTTCATTGAAAACTTTGGAACCGTTTTTAAGAAAATGGCGTTTAAGCGTTACTGTAAATTCTAAATTTTGAGCTCTTTTTCGCAGAACATTTTTGAGTTTTCGAAACAACTTAAAGTCATTTGATGCACTTTGACTCACAAACACAAAATTGTTTTCAAATTGATAGAAACGTGCCTATTAACAGCATGAAAGACAATTCAAAAAAATTGAACATGTTTAATTTTTGAAACAACAAAAAATATCCCGAAATAAACTTTACGTCATATTAAGGAGTTCAAATAGCACTATCCGTGCGAAAGGCTTACCGAAAAAAAATTGAGTCGTTTTTGAGAAAATAGCGTTTGAGCGCTTGTGAAAATGCGGATATTTGAGCTCGTTTTTATAGGAAACGCCCGACACATTTAAATTCACGGGAGCATTCTAAAATTGCGATTTTTATATCAATTAAACAAAATATGGTTTATGGTTTACTTGTTCATTGCAGTGTTTACCAACGTGTTAGAATATACTACATAGAGAGGCTGTTCCTATAGTTTCAGCGCTCTTGGCGGGGGCTCGCCGAACTAGTGACCGCCATGTTTTTTGAAGTCAAAACATACGAGTGGCCGTAAACAGCGCCAAATATAATGCTAGAAACAATGTCACCGAAGACACTAGTAAAAGGCATGTTAACTGATGGCGTGAGGTTACACGTGTAGTCATCGTGACAAAAATCTTTCGCCGGCTGCTGACATTCAATTAACGTTTAATTATCATCTTCGCCGTTCTAATAATGATATTTAACAGAAAGAAAATGTCGCATTTTATTGCATTTCATTCAATTCACAGCTTATTTTAACTTAAAAGAGATGAACAATTTAACCACTTTTAATTTTTTAATTATTGCCATATTTAAAAATATTGTACTTCTCAGAGTGGCTCATTTTTTTGAGGCAGCTAAATGATCCTGCATGCATAATATCATTTTCTATTATATGGTAAAGGAAATAATCTCCACAAAAGGTTTAACAATTTTTATTCATTATTATCCAGAGGGGATAAATTCCCATTCGGGAAAACACTTTTCGCATCCTCAGTGGGTCTTTAGCAAGGAGGAGAAATGAAAACATTAACACAAGTTGAACACAAAAAAGAAATACTGTGAATTTAGTGGAAAAAACAAACAAATAATATCAAATAAATGAAATTGAAAATACTTACTGCCCAAGCAACGTGGATCACCCACGAATGTTCACAAGATGGTAAAGAAATATGAAAACTGCAAAATATGCTGGTTACAGCTTGGTGGCAGCCATCTTTTGGAATGGAAGAAGAGGAAGCCTACCAGTTGAGGGAAGGGGGGGGGGGAATAGAAGAGAAGAAAGGGTAGTCATAAACAGACTTAAAAATTACTGCTTTCAATACAGGAATGTAAAACAGAACAGTCAGTCACAACAGGAAGGTAAAACAGAAGCAATATTTTTTAAAGTTGCAACACCCTTGCTATCCTAAATGTTAATGTCTATATTTTGGTGAATGTGTGGCTTATCGTGTTTCATTCATTATTTAAAAGAGAACACAAAATTTGAGAAGGATAGCTGAGATTAGCTCTGGAGTTAATATTATCCTGTTTTCTTGATTTTTCATTTTCCTAAATTCAAGATGGATAAGGGTTATATTGTCGGCATTGCTATCGAACAAAAAGTTGGTGGCTTGCAAACACAAATCATGTCTTTTAAACGCAGGCAAATTATCCTTTTAACAAACGTCAAAAACGTTTGTTGCTTTTGTTAATGACTTAATCATGAAGTAAATAATATCTTTCACTTACCTGATATTTGCAGTTCATAAATGTCACCACAACTTGAGCACAATTGATATTGGGCAATCCCGGCCTCCTGAATGATATCTTTGGGCGCTATCCAGTAGTTATGACAAGTAGATTCCAATGTTATACTTTCAGGATGGCTTGGAAGTCAGCATTTTCTCTGAAAATTCTCAGAAATTCAATTTATTAACGGAGAGTTTTGTACTCAAGAATGTGGCCTTATAAAACCACAAATACACTACTTACATTAATTTTTGAAACAACCAGCTGGATATCATGTATCTGTCAATTTTCTAGTTGTTCGGGGATAGTCGTATAGTATTCAAGGAGTCGAGGCAAGAACCTGTCTAATTGTCATTTAAAATTGAAAGTCATATGGGGTCTAAAGAAGACAACGAATACTACCAGAATTTGCTGATCATTCCAATAACCCACTCATCCATTATTGTCGCTGCAATGTGAGATCGACAACAGAGTAAAAAACACGACAAAGAACTCAGAAACGATGACTCATATAATATTGAACAAGTCAGAAACAAGGAGAGTCCTGTTATGACATAATTTTGTATTCTCGTATACATGGAAACAAGAAATAAAAAAGGCGAAAACAAAAAAACTCGATGCAAAAGAAGATAAATTTACATCAAGGAAATATTACTTTAAATGAAAAAAATTGTAGTGAGATAACATCACATACTTTTTCATATCGTTTGTAGCGATTATGAAATAAAATTTCAGATTTGCATTCTAATTCTTCAACTATCTCTTGGAAAACCCTCTACAGAGCGAGATTTAAAATTGTAATATCCGAAATTCCAGGGATTTTAATAAAAATCGAACTGATCGTTTATTCAAGATTTATTTTCTTTAATGAAACCAGAGTTGTTTCATTTTTCGTTTAAAGAAACTAGGATTGCTAAGGCAACACACACTTTCTCGTATTATTTGACACGGTCACATAATCCTATATGAGGTGCTTGGAATTAGACAATGGCAAGCCACAAGTGCCAACGACCTAAATTGATATCTTTTTCGTTTCTGATAAAGGTAGGCAAGCCACTGGCGAAGTAGTGTAACACAATACAGTAATGCAGTATCTTTTTATCTGATATCAATTATTTCTTCCGTTTCTTCAACTGCTAAGGTCATTAGTTCCGTGAGTGCAGTGCATGTTTTCATCGCGGGAGGTAGTGGAGATCTTCCCTGGCTGGATGGCACGAATCGGTCCCTTCCTACGTCGGCTTGCTGGTTTTCCCCAACCAGATATCTCCCACCAGCAGGACACCGCTCCGGCCGGGACAAGCTCAACCTTTCGGCATGTGTGATAGTGTGGTGCATGTAAATGTAAGAGTGTATGGTTAAGGGGTAGGGATATGACAAAGAAGAGGAAGGATACACTGAGCGCGGTCCGTGGCCCGATTCTTAGGGAACTGCTCCGGCATTCGCCTGATGTTGATCGGAGAAACCACAGAAAACTCCCGATCAGAGCGGCCGTCCGCAATAATCCTCCTCCAGAACGCGACTGAATTCTACCTAGGTATCTTGCTAGTGTTGAAAATTCTGCCACCGTCGGGACGCGATTCCTAGGACCTCCCGATTAGAGGCTCTGAAGTAATATCAGTTGAGCCACCTTAGCCGATATATTTAGAACTAATTGAACTTTCAATTACAGTCTGTAACAGTCACGTGAGGTGGCTTACCATTATCTAATTCCGAGCACCTCGTATAATAATAGCATAACCGGCGTGTCTGTCATTCACGGTGAGAAGCCGCCCGGGCCGTCATTTGGGGCAAGTGGGTCACTGGACGCGTCTGTCTTCTGGTGTGGAGCAGGCCTTTCTTGTATTCTTTGAGAAAATTATTATTATTTCTGTATAAGAATTTCACTTAAAATAATGCCCTATCCTTTTTTAATTGTTTATGACAGTATTAAAGATCCAATTTTGACAAACCGACTTCATTCACGATTTCCTAATTTCAATCAATCGCATAGACAAAACTTTAGTCTGTAGGTCTGCATCCACCCAGGCTTTAAGAAATGTATGCTGTAGTATTAAAATGGGACAAAAACATTGATAAAAAATAAGATATCTAAATTCAATTTCATCTATTGAATGTAATAAATAGATAAACTAATATACATACGTTTATATACTTACAATGTTCCATAACTCTTCTAATAAGTAGGCTTCTGAAGTTCAAACATGCACTAAAGAAAAACACTCTAAAGAAGACTAAATCAACTTCAGCTAACTAAGTTCTCATTCACTCTTGATCTTCACATTATGCTGCGATCTAATATACAAGTAAAATAATGAAATTGCATGATATACCGACATTTTCCCTATTGGTGTTATTACTCAACAACTACTCATATTTTTACAAAAAGTGCATTTTAGCTATAATTTAATGATTTAAATTGAATGCTAAATTGAAATGAGGAAGAAAAATCTAGCTAAAATATATAGAAGAAATGGGACATTTTCGAAAAATATTCGAACTTTTGCAATTTTCAAAGTTTCAAAAGTTTTGATGAAAATCGGAACTATATCGTATGTATAAATGCACTTTTTAGCAAACATTTTAATGGAAATTATAAATATGTTGAGCGGGAACTTCTTCATCTTCAATAGGATGCATGGGGCAGATAATATCTAGCAGTAGTACACACAAGGGTTTTAGATCAATGCTATCTTAGAAATGACAGTGACTGCTGATGTCCAAACAAACTAGGATTTGCAACACCATCGAATGACGGGAATGTAATTTCCAAAATTCTGAACATTAATATATACCGTAAAAAACGCGAGCAATTCGTATAAATTAAAACTAAGTTAAATAAGTCTATATTCAAACATTACTTTCATAATTTAATGCGTAATGTCCATGTCTAGTATGTTCTCTTCCTGCGCACATAGTTCTTGCTTTTATTATTTATTTGCATTTGGGCACACGAGTGTTTGTATTAGTTCTGAGACAACTGCAGGAAATAGAATACAAAAACTAACTAGATTTCTAAAAAATGATGATCGCACTTCAGCACTTTGCAACAAGATATATTGTTTGGACTCGTTTTACATTAGTTAATTTCATGATTTTAGTTGTTATTGATCCAACTGGTGGCGATGATAACGAAATAAAATATTTTAATTTGAAAATATCACTACCCTGCTATACACAGCGATAATTAGAGATCTGTAATTTTTCGGAAATATACGAGTATTCACTCCTAAAGTGAAATTCGTAACAGGACTTCACTTCTCAAAGAGATATATACAATAATTATTATTTGAAAATATGAAATACGTGTTTAATTTAATTTATACAATAATCCATATTTATTAAAGGAGACTTCTAACAATGTGTACTCATCTGAATCTCTTTAGAAATTCTGAGAAATACTGTCACACTTTTTTGATGTTTTATTAAAGAAACGTCTAGTTTTGTACTGATATCCCCTGATATTCCTCTAAAATTCCTGGATTTCTGGGTTCCTTAGTTTCATCGTGTCCTCTTAAAGCTAATTCAAAAACACCACAGAAACGAATAAAATTAATTATTGTTTTGTCTCAATACGCATCTATTTTGTTTCATTTTCCATTGTGATTTGTAATATTTATCTTGTATGCATTAATTATTATTCTATATTGCGTGTTCACTAACGTAACGGTAAACCGTTTTTTAAACGAGTTCCAGAAGATTAATGTTTTCTCCATTTCTATTAAGTAGTTTAAATCTTTAAATCTAGACTTTGTCTATGTTTCTTCACCTTCAAACAATATACTAGGAAAGCAAAACCGAGGTGCCTTGTAATCACATCCACATAACCACTTGTATTTATTGTAAAAATTATTTTTGAATTTTCGATTGAATTTTCTTTTTACTGATTTTACGTTTGAATAATTTTTTTAAGACTTGGAGTAGGCCCTCCTAGTCTTAATTTCTAGTTTTTTTCCTCCATAAGGCGTGAACCGAAAGAAGTTTATATTAAATGTTGCGCTGTATTTATTGTCGTCTAATGTCAGAAAAATAAATATTATACACTCGTGCAGAAAATTCTGAGAGATTCTTACTTTCTTTACCGACAGCTACGGCAACAAGAAAAACAACAGCACTTACACAATAAAATATCTACTACACACTTGTTTTCACAACTCTTTACGAAGCTCCCGAAATGACTTGGCGAGAACGTGACGACCAGCTCACTCATGTCTTTTTATCATGGGTGGGAAGTAAAGTGCACACACGGTGCAAAAAAATAGGGATCATATCGATCGCTGTTCGTCAATCCGCGCTCGTTGAGCGCTCTTTGGATACCAAATGATTTCTTATTCATCAATATTGCTGCAATATCTTCAATATTGAATGTAATTAAAAGGAAAATGCATATTCCTAACGTATCTTTACCGATTACCTGGGGTAGTCCAACCGCGTAACTTCAGCACGAGTCGTCACTGATAAATGGTTCAAAGCCGTTATCCTCCTTAGTGTATTGAAAAAAGATGATTTATTTAGAAACATTTTAAAATTTGGTCAACTGTTTAGTGTACTATAGGGGTGTCAAGGCCGCGGGTAAGATAACAAGCTTACTAGAGCTCGCAAACACTGCGTCCATGGAAATTGGCGCAGGATTTAAAAGTAAGGGTTGTGCAAATTTCTCCAGAATAGCGGCACCTACGTCATGACCGTTTTTGGGAGACGTTTATTGACAGTTATTGTCACACGTTTAGCAGTATTAATTCCCATTTTCTGTTCAAAGATTTATTAAAATTAAATAACACATCTGTCAGACATCAATTCTCAATTAAACATTTTGAATCGAAAGTATTTGGTTTTTGTAATCGTGTTTACTTAAGGATGATATAATAGCATTAAATTTTTATAACTAGGTTAGAACGTTTACCAGACCAATATTCGAGCCTTTTAAAATCGATCTCCGTAAGCTTGAATGGTTAACGTAGAGTCTTGTTAATTTATTTCACATTATTGCTAAATGCAATTAATAACGGAATGATTTAATAACCCAACTCAAAACAAAAAAACAGGAAAGAATTTTCGATTCAAACCTGGCAAACATATTTTCGTTTTAAGCCACAATTCACCGCCTCGCGCTGTTTCAGCTTGCGCGTGTGCACCCCTTGCTGGATTTGGAGGGGAAATGCGCGCGGAGCAAGGGGAAGTTGCC